ATGTGGGCAGAAAGGGCAGATGGCACTTGACAGAAGCTGCGGCTAAGTAGAGGCAGGGGCTGACCTCCACACGAAGATAAACCATGTGTTCTCCTTCTGAACCAGGGCTTGGTGGAGTAATGACTGTGGCTCAGGCTGTGGTGCAGTTCAAGGTAGAAGCACATGACAAATAGCAGCCTGCTTTTTCCAAGGGCCAGTACAAGATACTCTTCGTCCCTGGGCTCCGCCTACCTGGTGCAAAGGCTCTACCGCAGAGTGGTGGACAACTGCTGCCCACAGCCCACCTTTATTCCCACCTGTCTCGAGTCACTACTGTGTCTTACCTTCTGGAATGCCACAGAGAGCCAGAGACAATAGGTCTACTCCCTCCCTCTTTCCACTAACCAACTGCCCACACAGAGGTTCCTTGGCCCTAGAGCTGAATCACAGTGGGAGAACGCACTGTCCAGAGGGTGACTCCCTGGAATGCAGGCTCTGCTGCTTTCACAGTCAAAGGGTCACTGACACAGCTCTCATCCTCAGCAGTACATGGGACAAATCAGCCACAGCTCATCTGACAATGAGGCCAGTCAACTCCCAACAAAGGCAAGGACCCAGCTTTAAGAATCTTTGGAGCAGGTCGGCCTGCACTTCCTGCTGATTCCCTCCGAAGCTCTCCCAGGGAGGGGGCCAGACTTTGTGAGCTGTGGGATGCAGCTCAGGCACACATTCTCTCACTTTGGGTATAGGTCTTAAGACTGTTCACAGCAGCCAGGGAAGGTCTCCAGGGTGTCCAGTTCCCAACACTGATAGATATGCAATTGGGCTGACATAATCACCCAGTGTTCACGAGGCAGGGGCCTCCAGAGATCTTTGTACTTTGGCATCCCAACTTTAACAAGTTTAACTCTGCCACAGAGGCGGCAGGAAAGCATCTGCATCGAGCGTACATGAGCTTCCAAGAGCATCCTGTTCTTCCCCAGCCTCCATGGCTGGTGGGAATTTCCCTGGGTAATTCCACTGTCTTGCCACTTCAGTGATTCCAACAGCAGCCCATTGGGCGCACTGAAGATGGTACAGGTGTACTGCAGACACTTCCCTACTCCAGGGTCCCAGAACCTCTTTCTCCCTTTCTGCTCATCTACTATAAACACTACATGGTTTGTGTGTCAGGCTACTTTTCATTAGAATGTCACAGGTCAACATTGCCTATTTCCTGCCTCGATGGTCACTTCAATTCATGCTGGCCCTCAACACAGTTTATTCAGACAAAATAGGAACCAGGGGACGCAAGCACCAACCTAGAGGCAGAGACTTGTCAGTCATGCGGCACCTACACTGGGGTCCTAGCTCTGTTTCCTGCTGGCTGTGAGACACTGGGGAAGGCATGCAGCCCCTCAGAACTTTGTTTCTTCACTTACAGGCAAAGTAACCAATAGCATGGTTGGGCTCTTAAGAACAACTCAAAAATAGCCTCCTCACTTGGCCAAGTCTACTTCAAGAACCAGCCAATTCTGTGTTCTCAAGTCAAATATAAATGCTTATTTACACACCTATGCTTTATTTATTTAATTTTGTGTGTATGTATGTACATGTGAGTGTTCATATGTGTACGTGAGTATAATGTCCGTGCTGTGTACGTGTGTATAAGTGTCCTAGGAGGGTGTTGGATCCCCTAGAATTGGAGGTATAGGGTGGTGTGAGTTGCTCAATACAGAGTCCTCTACAAGAGTGGGAAATGCTTCTAACTTGAGTCATCTTCTCCAGTCCCCTTACCTATGCTTTCCATACCTTTGATACTAGTACTTGGGAGGCAGAGGCAGAGGCAGAGGCAGGCGCAGGTGGAGGCGGAGGCAGATCTACAGAGGCCAGCCTGGTCTACAGAGTGAGTTCCAGGATAGTTAGGGCTACACAGAGAAATCACGTCTTGAAAAATGAACAATAAAAATAAAAAATTAGCAAAGTAAAAGAAAAATTGCATGGTATACATGTGGAGGCCAGGGAATGGTGTGGAAGTTGGTTTTATCCTCCTATTATGTGGGTCCTGGGAGGGAACTCACTTGTCAGGCCATACGCATGCTTTTTAAGTCTCATCACTAGACAGAGGTCTACTTGTGTCCATTTTAGTTTCTCACATATGCACACTCGTCTAAGTGTCTATCTTTATTTTTATGGAAGGTGTTTTGTCTGTAAGCCATGTGCATGCAGGGCCTACAGAGCTGGCCACAAGAGGGAATCAGATCTCCAGGGACTGGAGATAAGGATGGCTGTGGGCTGCTATGTGGTTGCTGAGAATTGAACCTGGTCCTCTGGAAGAGCTCTTCAGCCCCTTAGTATCAATATTCTCAAAGCCATTGTTTCACACAACCTTCCTCAAAGGGACACACTGGGGGCAACTGAACCTGCCTCCCTTGCCCACACCTCAGCACCTGAAGCACTGGACACCACTGTCATGTGCATCCAGTGTTTCCTAGCCTTCCCTGCCTTCACCCCTACTTCACCAACTCCTATGGCAAATACTTGCATCCCCACTGTGAATTCCACAACTGACTCATCCGCTGACAAATTCAACCCTGACTCTTGACTTGCTCTTTCCCCCCACTGTGTTCCTCAGGGCTCCAACTGTACAGCCAACTGTCTTACACAGAAAACCTAGCCAGAAGCTTCCTATTGTTTCCTGAGTAAAATGTTGCTTGGATTAAAAAAAAAAAAAGAGAGAGAGAAAAAAAAAAAAAAAAAAAAAAAAAAAAAAAAGAGACAACAGCAGATGAGATGCCCCAATTTCTCATAAGATTCAAATTCATGTTATTTGTCTATTCTCTACCCAAGTCCTCCTGGATACAATCTCTACTGTTTAATATATTTATTCAGTGTGTGTATGACACAGCACACATGTCAAAGACAGCTGCAGTTTCTCCTTCCACTGTGTGGGTCTCGGGTTTATCAGGGTCTTCACTCACCGAGTCATCTCACTAGCTGAGAAATTGCTTTTATTTATATTAAAAAAAAAAAAAAAAGGTTTATGTGTAAGCCAGGCATGCTAATGCAAGCCTTTAATCCCAGCACTCAGGAGGCAAAGGCAGACGGATCTCTGTGAGTTTGAGGCCAGCCTGGTGTACACAGTGAGTTCCAGGACAGCTAGAGCTACACTGAGAAATCTTGTCTCGATAAACCATGTGGGTGCTGGGTCCTCTGCAAGCGCAGCCAGTACTCTTAATGACTGAGCCATCTCTTCAGCCCTGAAAAGTTACTTTTAAATTAGTGGGGGGGATAGTATAAGCCCATCAATTTAATACATTCAATTTAATGTGATAAGTGCTGAGCCATTGTCCAGCACTTAAAAAGCAGCAGGGCCTAGGGGGAACCTTAGGCTGGCAGAAGACTCTTGCTCTGTCTTGTGAATGTGTGAATAACCACTGAACTGGTTAGGAAGCACCAGTCTCTGTAGAAGAAGATGGTCCAGAGCTAGAAATGCCTTTAGTGCCTTAGCCAGGAACACCTGAGAGCAATCACGCTCAGTAGCAGGCCCAGCTGGGTAAATAGCATCCTGTCCTGAAGACAACCGAGAGCCTGAGCTACTCTGCCAACTTCCATCTCCCCACTAACCCCAGCTGCACCATTTCCACTATAACCAGGTACACTGGCCAGGGATAGCTGCTCTACCTGACATAATGGGCACACTCTGGAGGGGTCTAATTTAAGGGAAAAAAGGACAATATTTTCTGTTTAGGGTGTATCTCAGTTGGTAAGGTGCTTGCCCAGTGTGCAGGAGGCTATCTGTCCCCAGCACAGCATGAAAGGAGGCTTGGTGGCTGTCTGTGAGCTCAGCATCTGTAGAAGGTCAAGACCATCCTCCACAACTATATTGCAAGTCTGAGGCTGATCTAGGCTATGAGACCCTGTCTCAAAATAAAAATGAAAATTCATTTGAATATTAAGATGTGGAGTCTTGGCTAGCTTCCTTGAACCAGGCCTGGAACCCCAATACTTGGGAGGCATAGACAGGAGAATCCTGCCCCTAAAAAACAAAATGGAATCTTTCCTTAATGCAGGCAAATCATTGGCTACTTTTCTTATATCCTAGACAGCTAACGTGGCTGCCCAAGTCTCTGCAATGACTACCCTATCAATCAACAAGTCCATTCTGCATCCTCCCGAGTGAACAAAGCTACCCCTATGAGACTGACTACACAGCACCACTCTTACAGCAGGCTACCCTGACTGCCAACACACAAGTACACTTTAAACCCCAAGGTTGAATGCCAACATGCAGTACAGATGGACTTGGGACAGTACTGTACACAAAGGCTCTAGCAGTCATGGGAGGGGAGCACACACGTGGCTGAGCCATGACAACAACCCTAGCTGTGGATTCAGACCAAACCATTGAAACTGGCTAGAGAGAAACACAGCAACTCAAACACCTAGAAGTGTCTGTCGACAACCAGAATATCTGAAACTGCAGTCAATGCCCTTTATTTATCTCTCATACGTGCAAAGTCAAAATGTCACTCTAAGCCACTCTAGGTTGCAGAGAAGGAAGTCATGAGCCACAGCAAACAGAAAAGACATCATCAGCAAGAGGATATGTGACACACACATTAGTCAAAGCCAACAACATTTTAGGATAAAATAATTGAGCCTGGCTTTTTACTCAGGGGGGAAACACCAGCCTAACCGAAAAAACATGGCAGGAGCCCGTTGCAGAGGGTGCTGCGATGACGCTAAGCTCAGTACACGCCTGCCCGGAAAGTATGGCTAATGATATTTTGACAGTTTTAAAAATAATAAAGGTAAAGAGTCTCGGTTTTCAACACCCAAATGACAGCAGACAGAAGTAAATTACGCAAGTGGATGAAGCAGCAGCCACAGGACACGCAGGGAGGGAGAAGGCTTTTGTGTCGATGCTATTGACAGCCACGTTTGCTCTGGGCAGTGGTGGTCTAGCATTCTAGGTTTGCCACGAAGGAGCATCACGGATCCCAAGGCCCACCACCTGCCCCTTCTCCGAGGGCACCTACCTTACTGTAAGTCACTACTGATAAGTTGTTTGCGTGACTGCTGGGGGACAGATTTACAGAGTTCTGTGACAGTCTATCCTGATCTTGCTCGGTTTGGTCAGGAGCAGGAGCCCATGTATTTTTGCTGATCGAGTCGAACCCGGAACCCCCAGGGTCTTTTAAGTTGTTTTCATCTGATTGTCGGTTCTTTTGGGGAGAGGCAAACGGGTTGAAGTTTCCTTCTACCTTGCGATGTGGCTGTGTGTTGAATTCCGTTTCAAAGGATGACAGCTGTTGCGTTACTCCTAAAAGTCCACCCACCTCCACACTGAGAATCACCCAGATGACATCTGAAACAAAAAGGCAGCTCATATCAATTCCAGGCATACCCTTGGCCCAGGGTAACCACCACCGAAAACCCAAACCACTGGGGAAATCATTCTCCACAGTCAGTTCTTTGAAAGCTGCCCAGATGTATGCATGGCATATGCTTCTCAGCCTTCAATAAAGTCAAGGGAAAGCTCTGGTACAGTTCTGTGCTGGGACCCACAAAGCTGCAAGGGAAGCTTCGCAGTTGAGGGAGATATCTGGAAATCATTACCCAGAGAGCAAGCAGAAACAGAGTGCTCCAGTTCACAGAATGCTCTTTGTGGCTTCACTTCACATGTGCTTAACTGAAAATACACTCATTCTGGAGACCAGGCTGGCCTCGAACTCAGAGATCGCCTGCCTCTGCCTCCCAAGTGCCGGGATTAAAGGTGTGCACCACCAACGCCCGGCAGAAGACAGAATTCTGAAAGCTAAAATTTCTTACTTTTTGTTATGAATAGAACTGCAACTTACTTAACCTTACCCAACTTGGGAGACAATTAAGAATGACCAAAAAGAGAAGCTACAGAAAAAGGCATTGTCAACAATTAAATTAGGGCATCCATAAAAAGCCGCACTAACTAGACACGGGATAGCATGCTTTCTAGCAAGTACACTGACGGTTCAGATCAGCCTAGTTTTCCAGGGTAACCCAAACCATTGCCAGCTCTGTTCTGTAATGTAGGAAGACCTGATTACACTAACCCTTTAAGTAATTTCTTTTATATCTGTGTACCACGTGTGCGCAGTGCCCTCAGAGGCCAGAAGAGGGTGCTGGATTCCCTGGAACTGGAGTTGTAGACAGTTGTGAGCTGTGGGTTCTGGGAATCCAACCGGTTTCCTCTTCAAGCAGCTAATGTTCTTAACCACTATGCCATATCTCCAGCCCTTAAGTTCTTTTTTTTTTTTTTAGAAAAAATGTACAGGCAGGACACAGTGGTGGATGCCTTTAATCACAGGCCAGTGAGACTACATGGTGAAAACCTGAACCTTAGCAGATCAATACCAGAAGATGCCTGTCACAGTTCCTTTTCTGACTTCTTCACTGTCAACACTAAGGAATCAAACACAAAGTATGGGAGCTGTCCCCTTTGGTGCTGATAACAAAGGTGAAAACAACACCACTCCCACACGGCTGCTGAAAAGCTATGGAAAGCAATCCCACGTTACAGTTCAGCTAAGCAGAACGTAGGACAGGGAGGCACTGAGGCCCATCCCCAAGTTTTCACTGGGGTCCCATGAGAAGAGTATCTTACAGTGCCATGGAGCCACACTGCTATGCCCATTTAGTTTAATGGTTTGGGAGCTGTACTGAGACCTGGCCAGTTAGGAGCTGGGCATAGGAAGCAGAGCTGCAGCGACACCTGCTGATCATGTCTGGAATTGGCTTTTACTGAGAAAAGCCACATCCACCAACCATACACACTAGCAAAACTCCAATTCAAAACAGTATCCCATGCAAATAATCCAGACACACAAAGACACTGCACGTCTCAGGCTTTTAATTCTAGTATTTAGGAGGCAGATGCAGGCAGGTCTCCGGGAGTTTGAGGCCAGTCTGGTCTACATATTGAGTTTCATGACAGCCAGTGCTATGTAGAGATCCTGTCTCAAAACAAAAGCAACAACAAATTATATGCCCCCATGCTAACTACTACCATAAAATGTGTTTCTGAGATAGGGGGTCTCACTATGTATACCCTGACCGGGGTCAAATTCATGTCAATTCTCTTAGTCTCCTCCCCAGGAGGCTGAGCAACTATGTTCAATTATGACATCTTGGATAAGGCATGCCACTTTAAGGTCAGAAGACTTGAGTTCTAGACTGACTTAATCTCATACCGCAGTAAGATATGAGCCTTAGGCAAGATCAAGTTGGCAGTAGGCTCTGAGGGAGTCACTCCACCCCTTCCTACGCTAGCGTTCTAGCTAAAGTGAATGTGTCCTGCCTGTGTGGAGTGTGTGACGGCCAGAGAGTGACACCAGGTATCCTTTACCACCCAAAGATCAGTTTCAGACTACAAACTGCTCAGGACAAATTCAAAGCAGTAGCTGAGATGGTTCAGCCTCACAGACTACTCCAGCCAGGACCTCAGGTAAGCCCTGCACTTTCCCATCACTCAGACACCGGACAGAAAATGATACAGCTAGCTCTCCCAGGGCTTTAAACTTATCCAAATTTTGTCAGGGTCCACTAAAGATGCCGTTGCCCCCAGACAGCAGGAAGTAATTTTAAGAACATGATGCCCACATTCCCAAGAGGTGGGGTGGATGGTTTTTTGGTTGCTCAGTGGGTTATGGATGTTTGTTACTGTTTAGAGGGTTAGCTGCAAGTTGTTATTGGTCACGGTCAGGGAGAAAACTAAACAAAGGAGGTTAGATTCAGGGATTTTTCTCTTTTCTTTATCCTTCCTTCTCTCCTATTTAGTGAAAAAAGGGAGGGTATAGAAATGACAAGATAAGCCGGGCATTGGTGGTACACGCCTTTAATCCCAGCACTCGGGAGGCAGAGGCAAGCGGATCTCTGAGGGTTCAAGGCCAGCCTGGTCTCTAGAGCGAGTGCCAGGATAGGCTCCAAAGCTACACAGAGAAACCCTGTCTCGAAAAACCAAAAACCAAAAAAAAAAAAGAAATGACAAGATAAAAGGGTAGATTGTCTGAAATACTTTGGTATAGATTGTTGTATATTGCTACAAATTTAAGGTTATTTTTGTTATACTGTACAAACATTTCCACTCGCTTAAGGTATTGTACCTATGCAGATTACTTAAAAATGTTAAGTTCTAGTCCTTTAAAGCTATTACTACAAACTGTGAAGAAATGCAGGTTAGATCAAACTTGTAATCATGTTAGGTGTGTTTACAAGGTTAAACAGAGATATTTTAGATAGATGGTCTCCAAAAACTTCAGAGATATACAGAATGACATTTTAAAAGCATAAGGCTTTTCATGACAGTGAGATACATCTGCTCCTGGCAGTACCAACCTACTTCAGAGAAGATGATGGGCATCGAAGAACCTCCATATGGATTGGCTATAAACTGCCCTGGCCTTGACTGCTTGCTGACAGTGTGCTGTCTAAATTGGATACACAGAACACAAAGGAAACTGACTGCTGAAGTTTGCCAAGACAAGGTAGGACAGTCCTTCAAAGTCTGCCAGACATTTTAGGCCTGTGAGCCAAAAAAACGTATACTCCAACATTGCAGAGGAAACTTGGGTGACTGTCCAGGCAGCCAGATGTCTGTCATTTCTATAGTTTTGGAAGTTGTTCTGCACTTCCTGCTAACCCAGGTAATATTTTATCCTTCTCAGGTCTCTGATGGAGTTGAAGATGGTTATAGTTTTACAGTTGTCCTTGTTACCAAATTCAGAAAAGAAACTTACAAATGAGACGTAAACATTTATAAGGTTGAGAAACACAAAAGCTTAAGTTGTTTAGCTAAGAAAATGTTTTAAGGTCTAAAAAGATATTTTTAGGTTGGTGATACAAGTTATGATGGAAAGTGTTTCAGATTTAAAACTTTGGACTCACCAAGACAGGATCGATCATAGAATCATTTCTCTGAATTTGCCAAATACAAATGGACTGGACAATGTGAATGCAATTTTTACCTAATAAGTAATTGTTCTTATTGTATATAGTTTTAACTGTGTTAGAGTTAAAACCTTTTCCTTTTTATTCAGACAAAAAGAGGAAATGTGGTATATTTGATCACACTCTGTGAAGATGTCTGTTTTGCCTTACCTGTCTAAGGCACCTTCTGATTTGTTTAATAAAGAGCTGAATAGCCAAGAGCTAGACAGGAGAAGATAAGTGGGACCTCCAGGGAGGGAGAGAGAGGATCAGGGGGGTGTCGGGGTCTGAGAGATGGGGGATTCACCAGACAGATGCAGAGGGAAGTTGGACATAGGGTACTGAGGAGAGATAACAAGCCACATGGCAGAACACAGATTAATAAAATGGGTTTATTTAAGTTTTGAGAGCTAGTTGGGAACAAGGCTAAGCTAGTCTAAGCTTTCATAATTGATAAAAAGTCTCCATGTCATTAGTCAGGAGATGGCCGTCCAAAGAAAGTCCAGCTATAAAGGTTTCTCACTGAACCTGGACCTCACCAATTGGCTAGAAAGAGAATGATAACCAACACATTCCAGGATCCTTCTGACTCTGCTCACCACTGCTGGGGTCACAGGCACAAGCCAACACACCTGTATGTCTGAAACCTGGTCACAGCAACAACTTTACTCACTGAGCCACCTCCCCAGCCTCAGGCATCCCACCTTACATCCCACCTGTCTGGGCTGAGATCTAATCTAAGGATCAGCTAAGCTCAGCATCCTCAGAGGTAGGCCACACGCCTCACTCTCACAGCTCAGGAGAGAAAAGCGTATGAGAATGAAGGCCACCATTGGTAGACTAATGACACGTCTTCCTCTGGAGAAGCAGTAGTCACTGCTTCTCCACACCTGTGCCACCTGTTTGCCTTGGCTTTTAGTCTGATTCTGCAGGCAGCTGTGAAAGGAAGGCACTAATGGAAACATCCGAGGCCCACCGTGGGTGGCATAGACAGTAGGCTTTTGTGGAACAATTTCAGTGTCTGGTAAAACATCCCGCCTCCTGATTCAGAAAGAGTTCATTCCTATACAGTACAACAGAAAGGGTAAGATGCCCCAATAAACTGGCCATTCCCAAACCTTGTCTAAATGTCTTGATCACTGACCTAAGAACTAACTGGTTGGAGATGTAGCTCAGTAGGTAGTGTATGCCTAGCATGCATGAAGTCCTGAGTTAATTCCCAGTACTATCAAAATAGGATAAAAAAGATAAAACTTAAAAAAAACCACAAAATTACAAACCAGAGACTATATTACTAACATCAAAAACAAACTATTTACTGGAAGATCACCCAAATAAACTACCATAGTTAAAAGATGTTCCTTTTGAGGGCCTGGATCTAGAGGTGAGACTGAATGGCAGCCA